AAGAAGGAGCGAGAAGCCCCCGAGTCAAGGGTGAAGGTGTGGGAGGCCGAAGCCGACGCAGAACCTGAGAGAGCAGACTCACCAGCACCTGAGGGAGCAGACGCACCTAGAGCAGCAGCCTCGCTAGCACCTAGAGCAGCAGCCTCACCAGTACCTAGAGCAGCAGTCTCAATGCCCGGGTCGGGCGGAAAACACCGGTAACAGTCACCCTCATCACTAATAGTCACAGTATACATGGCAGCAAGAATAGCATCAAAGTCAAGGTCAAAGACAGCCACACCCGCCCTAGACAGCTCACCCCAGCGGGGGATCTCAGTGGCCTCAGGGAACTGGTGACGCCAAGTGTCCGTCAGGCGGCCAAAGCAGCGCTGGGTGGAGTGCGCACCCCCGCACTGCTCACCCGCGCGGTCGCCGGTGCGGAGGACGTAGGCGCACGGACCAGTACCCCCACCCCTCTGGCGTGCAGTGTACCACTCACGGAGCTGCTGAGGGGAGGGGATGTCACGAGTGCGCTGCTGCTGCTGCTGCTGCTGCTGGCGCTGACCACCACCGGAGCCGACCCTCTGCGCAGCGCCACCCCGACCAGCTCCACCTCCTCCGCCGCCTCCTCCTCCACCGCCGCCACCTCCGCTCCCTCCGCCACTGCCGCTGCCGCCTCCGCCTCCACTGCCGCCACCGACACCTCCACCCCCGCCACCACCCCCACCGCCACCCCCACCTCCTCCACCGCCTCCACTGCCGCCTCCACCGCCCCCGCTAGCTCCTCCAGCGCCCCTGCCCCCCTTGCCCTTGCCAGGGCGGCGTCTCCCGCTAGGGGTAGACGCCGCACCAACCGACTCAAGCCCAACGAGGTCGGCCGCAGCAGCCGAGGCAACAGAGGGCAAAAGGGGGGAGGGGGAACACCCCTCAAAGATGGGGGTGCGAGGGTCACCACGAGAGGCTCCTACAGCTACTATGCTCTTCTCTGCTGCTAGGAGGGACTTCTCGAGGAGGTCAACGGTGAGAGTGGTGGGGCAAACTGAGAGGAAGTGGTCCCTGACTACGCGAAGGGAGTCAGGGAGCCGGGTGACTATGTAGTAGAGGGTGATGTACATGGGGGGGGGGTTCTTGGCGCAGAACTCAGCAGGAAGCGCAGCGCGGTAGCGAGTGTCACTAGTGCGTAGGTGCGTAATGAGGTCAGCGACTGTGGGAAAGGCAGCAAGGTCAGGGAAGAGGTACGGTAGCATGAGGCGACTCAGTGCAGCAGTGGCAGGGGAGGAGTAGCGTGCAACTACAGCGTCGTACAAGGTCTGAGCACTCTTGTACTGGCTAAAGTGCGCACGCTCAGAGGTAGGCAGGTGGCGACGCACAGCAAGACGTGCAGCAGCATCGCGCGTGGCCCACTGGGAGCGAACAGTTGCGTCAGCATCAGTGGCGGGGGCAGGAGAGGCACCAGAAGTGAGGTCAAAGAGGGAGAGGCCGTCTGCCCTATCGCACTGTAAGAAAAGCTGCAGGTCATCTATCCAGACGTCAAAGTCAATGGCCCGACCCTCAGCGTCAAAAGCGAGGACACTAGGGGTAGCCATGACAGCAGTAGACTAGCAGCGCAAACAGTGGGGTGAGGGCAGTGCTGTGAGAGAGGCGCTGCTCTTACCGGACAGGGCGGCTCGGGCGGCTCGGCTGCAGGGCGGCTCGGTGACTCGGCTGCTGGGCGGCTCGGCTGCTGGGCGGCTCGGCGGCTCGGCTGCTGGGCGGCTCAGCGGCTCGGCTGCTGGGCGGCTCGGCGGCTCTGCTGCTGGGCGGCTCGGCTGCTGGGCGGCTCGGCGGCTCGGCTGCTGGGCGGCTCGGTGGCTCAGCTGCTGGGCGGCTAGGCTGCTGGGCGGCTCAGCGGGGCCGCTGAGAGGGCCGCGTCAGGGGCCGCTGGGAGGAGGCGGCGGGGCCGCTGAGAGGAGGCGGCGGGGCCGCTGAGAGGAGGCGGCGGGGCCGGAAAGGTAGGTGGCGGGGCCGCGTCAGGGGCCGCGGCAGGGGCCGCGTCAGGGGCCGCGGCAGGGCCGCGTCAGGGCGCCGCGTCAGGGGCCGCGTCAGGGCGCCGCCAGGGGCCGCGGCAGGGCCGCGTCAGGGCCGCGTAAGGGGCCGCGGCAGGGGCCGCGTCAGGGGCCGCGTCAGGGCCGCGTCAGGGCCGCGGCAGAGCCGCGTCAGGGCCGCGTCAGGGGCCGCTTCAGGGCCGCGGCAGGGGCCGCAGCAGGTCGCGTCAGGGCCGCGTCAGGGGCCGCGGCAGGGCCGCGTCAGGGCCGCGGCAGGGGCCGCGTCAGGGCGCCGCGTCAGGGGCCGCGTCAGGGCGCCGCCAGGGGCCGCGGCAGGGCCGCGTCAGGGCCGCGTCAGGGCCGCGGCAGAGCCGCGTCAGGGCCGCGTCAGGGGCCGCTTCAGGGCCGCGGCAGGGGCCGCGGCAGGCCGCGTCAGGGCCGCGTCAGGGGCCGCGGCAGGGCCGCGTCAGGGCCGCGGCAGGGGCCGCGTCAGGGCGCCGCCAGGGGCCGCGTCAGGCCGCGTCAGGGCCGCGTCAGGCGCCGCCAGGGGCCGCGTCAGGGCGCCACCAGGGGGCGCGTCAGGGGCCGCGATAGGGCGCCGGCAGGGGCCTCGTCAGGGCGCCGCCAGGGGCCGCATAGGGGGCGCGTGGGAGGCGGCGTAGGGGCTGCGTAGGGGCAGCGTAGGGGCCGCTAAAAAAAAAAAATTAGGGCAGGGCGCAATGTGCGCGGGCAGCTAAAAAAAAATTCTTATGGTGGGCCCTTAGGAAGGAACGGTCCCATGTAGGAACCCGCTCTATACCATGTGAATCAAGAAAACAGGAATGAAATGACTAAGTGAAAGTTGGGTACAAAAGGCAAACCCTAGGAAACTGTACCCCATATGTGCTACCCCACTATAGCCTACAGTAACTATGTCAAATAAATCTGACATTGATTCCTTAACCTTTGCCATTATGTGTTCTTTAAACAGGGCATTTCTTTGGCAACAGACGGAGGAGATCCACATTTACCAAGGGAAAATCTATTCATCCGTAAGCGCTGCTAGAGATGAGATAGAGAAATATGGCGATAAGTTCAACTTTAGGCCGTGGTATAGGGACAACAGGCCAGAACGCCTTGACGTGCGTTGCCCTTCTATGAAAGGAAAAGACTGGCCCAAGAATGAGGCCAAAGCGCCTGAGGGTTTTTGTCCGTTTCGGATTGTAGCTACCGGGCCACGAAATTGCTGCTTTAGTGTGAGATCTGTGACGCTGCAGCATGCACACACGTGTGTGCCACGCCCTGGTCGGATTAGGAGGGAACAGGTTAAGCAATTGGTGCGTGAAGTACATCCTCATACAGTCATTAGACCCATTGGACTACGACATATGGTGCGGGAAAAGTTAGGCGTCGACTGCTGCAATGCTACGTGTGGCCAGTCAATAGATGATGTCACTCGAGAGGATCGTCTAGGTGGAGAGTCGGGTTTCCAATACATTGGTAGCATCTTAGATGTTTTCAAGCGAAACAACCCATCAAGCGGTGTGTCATTGATGCTGGATGAGAAGAGGTTCTATCGTGCTGCAGTGATTTACCCAGGAGTCCGTGAGATAGTGAATAATTGCTTTCCGATCATATTTGTAGATGGATGTCACAACAAAGGTAAATGGCGTGGCCATACCCTGAATGCATGCATGATAGATTGCGAACATAAGCTGGTGAGGTTAGGGAGTGCGTGGGTAGAAGGTGAGAGTGCGAATTCGTGTGAGTATTTTTTGAGCCAGCTGAAGGTAGCTGCCCCTGAGATCAACACTGCGAGGTTTACATTGATGCATGATCGCGGTAAAGCATGGAAAGCAGCTGCGGCCAGAGTGCTGCCAGGGGCGCGTGAGGCATTTTGCATCACACACTTGGTGAGGAATTTTAATTCAAAGTTTGGTTCCGACTGTGATGGCAAGATCGAGCTCGCGGCTGCAGCATTGACCAGAGATGTGTTGCGGGGCTACATGGACAAAATCGAGGCAGAGTGCCCTGGGGGGAAGCAATACTTGGAGAGGGATGGATTGGCTGCACATTGGGCTACCTTTCTGTTTGATGCGTCACGTTTTGGGTGCTACACTTCAAACCCGGTGGAGTCGCATCATGCCTCTATGCACAAGTGGAGAAGGGACAATCCAGCCCAAGTGTTGCTTGCATTCATAACACAGCAAGCGAATGCAATGGAAGAGGGTCGTGGGCTGTATGGGACTCTCGGGGTAGCTGATCTCCCCCCCAAAACAGCAGCTATCATTCGTGCTAATTGTCAAATGGGGACTCAGTACAAGGTGGAGAAGACTGGCAGAAGTTCATACCATGTGAGCCGTGAGACTGGAGCCAAGGAGGAGCGTGTGGTGGTGATGGAGGCAGCGAATCCAGAGAAGGCGCAGTGCACGTGTAATTATTCGAAGTGAGTTATGTGTTTTTATTCTGATTTTTGAAGTACTTGTCACCTGGTGTTATGCACCTGGTGTTAGGGTTGTCATTACATGCATTACCTTTTTGTGATCTCTGGCCTTCTCTTGATGTTTGTCAAATGATGGATCCTGACATTCGTTTAACACCCATTTGATTTTCCCGTACACTTGCAGAGAGTATGGGCTGCCTTGTATGCACATGTTTGCAGTACTGCTCCACAACATCCGGCCGGCGCGTGGCAACGAGTTTTCGGATGTCCAACAGGCGGTTCAAGCCATGATCCACAGGTGTTACACATCAACCGCTTTGAAGGAGCTCTACAGCACGGAGATTCGCACTCTAGACCGCACAGAGATAGTACCAGACAAAACAGTTGAGCCACCAGTGTACCCAAAGAAGTCGGGAAGGCCACGCATCAATCGGTTGAGGTCCCATGGTGAGATTGATGGCAGGAAGCTGCGTAGATGTGGGAAGTGTGGGGAGAAAGGGCACAATAGACTGACTTGTGATTTGCGCAAACAATTGAGAGACGCATGGGAGGCACTTCACACTCCGGAAGGGCACATGAGTGTGCAAACAGCTACGCAAGCAGAGGCTCGAGTGAATGTGGCGCTGTGTAGTGCATGCAATAGAAGTCACCACAGAGATGTAGTGTGCGAGCCTAGGAGGCAACATTGTGAACATGAACGACCTCAAAATGGGGAGGGGGTGATGGACGGCAACGAGACTCACGCGGCAGATGGTCAGAATGGAGATGTTGAAGTATCAGATGAGGAGGAGGACGGCAGTTCAGAGTCAGAGGGGGAGAGAGAAGAGCAGCCAATGGATGCGGGTGCTGGTGTCCAACAGGCTGTCCCATCAGTACTCCGTGAAGTATTTGGGGAGGCATTTAACGGACGTAATCATTCAGGAAACAATGGAAACATGCGCTCGGGGGGTGTGGGATTATCAAATCCAACAGCAGCAGAGAGTGGGGAATTGGGGGAGATGGGAGGAGCATCCGAGAGTGGAGGATTGGACGAGCGGGGAGGAGCAGGCGACAGCGGGGCGGGGAGGGGAGGAGAAGAGAGCGGGGCAGGGAGGGGAGGAGCAGCCGAGAACGAGGCGGGTAGGGGAGGAGCAGCAGGGAGCGCGGCGGGGAGGGGAGGAGCAGCAGGGAGCGAGGCAGAGAGGGGAGGAGCAGTCGAGAATGGGGTAGGGAGGGGAGGAGCAGCAGGGAGCGAGGCAGAGAGGGGAGGAGCAGTTGAGAATGGGGTAGGGAGGGGAGGAGCAGCAGGGAGCGAGGCGGGGAGGGGAGGAGCAGTCGAGAGTGGGTTAGAGAGGGGAGGAGCAGCAGGGAGCGGGGCGGGTAGGAGAGGAGCAGCAGGGATCGAGGCAGGGATGGGAGGAGCATCAGCAGGGACAGGGAGGGGAGGAGCAGCAGGGAGCGAGGTGGGGAGGGGAGGAGCAGCCGAGAGTGGGGTAGGGAGGGGAGGAGCAGCAGGGAGCGGGGTGGGTAGGGGAGGATCAGCAGGGATCGGGGCAGGGAGGGTAGGAGCAGGGAGCGGGGCCGGGAGGGGAGGAGCAGCAGCGAGTGGGGCGGGGAGGGGAGGAGCAGAAAGCGGGGATGGGAGGGGAGGAGCAGCAGTGAGTGGGGCGGGGAGGGGAGGAGCAGCAGGGAGCGGGGCGGGTAGGAGAGGAGTAGCAGGGAGTGGGGAAGGGAGGGGAGGAGCAGAGAGCGGGGCCGGGAGGGGAGGAGCAGCAGCGAGTGGGGCGGGGAGGGGAGGAGCAGAAAGCGGGGATGGGAGGGGAGGAGCAGCAGTGAGTGGGGCGGGGAGGAGAGGAGTAGCAGGGAGTGGGGAAGGGAGGGGAGGAGCAGTGAGAGGGGCGAGGAGGGCAGGGGCATCAGGGAGCAGGACGGGGAGGGCAGCGGCAGGGAGCGGGGCAGGGAGGGGAGAGACAGCCGATAGTGGGGTAGGGAGGGGAGCAGCAGGGAGCGGGGGCGGGGAGGGGAGGTGCAGGATGGAGTGGTGGAGTTGCGGGTGAGATGGGAATTGACCACAACAATCCCACACCTGGTGACGCCTCGCAAAACAATGGTGACAACGTGGTTCGTTTTAGACTGAGGCGGATGCAACACGTTCGTCAGCAAAGACAAGTGGCACCCGAACCGAGAAATATGGATCAAACGCCAGCGGCTGTGGTGGAGGAAGGGACAGGGGCGGACTCAGAGGCAACGGGCCATACAAACCAGACCCCAGTACCTGAGACACAGCAATCAATCGTTGTGGATAACCCAGCGGACCACAGCGGGGAAATGCGGGATGAACAGCAGCATGTGAAGTTGGGGCAGAAGCGACACCGCCTGTTGAGAAGGTTGCAGATGCAGCAACGACATCAGAGACGGAAACAGTTGCAGGGTGTGACTCAGCAGGGACAGCAGCAGAAGCAGCAGCAGCAGCAGCAGCAGCAGCAGCAGCAGCAGCAGCCGACGCTGCAACAGCAGGGACAACAGGGGCGGCATGGACAGCAGGAGCGGCAGGGACAGCAGCAGCAGCAGGGACAGCAGGAGCGGCAGGGACAGCAGCAACAGGGACAGCAGGAGTGGCAGGGACAGCAGCAGCAGCAGCAGCAGCAGCAGCAGGGGCAGCAGATGCTGCTGCTCCTGCAGCAGTTGCTGCAGAATGCGCAGCAGGGAGGGCAGCAGCAACAGGGAGAGCTGCATGAGAGGGGCCAGCCACAACAGCAACATGATGTTGGGCTACATCTGGAGCAACTGCTGCAGGTATTGCGACAACAAATCCAAAATCAAAACCACCAAGAGTGGCCTCAATCTCAGCAGCAGCAGCAAGAGCGACACGAGCATCTGTAACAGAGTCAAAAACAACAGAAACGATTGCAGCAGCAATGACAGGAGCAGCAGAAGACAGTGCAACGAATGCATCAGCAATTGCAACAGCAACAGGCAGGGTTGTGGCTGCAATCCTCTTCGCTGCAACAACAATGGTGAACCTTGTGAAACTAGAATATGGCCTTGTATCATTGTTGACACATCACAACGTATGAAACAAAGCCTTGTCAACCATCTCCCACTCCCTGCAACCACTCCCGGCTCTCGCTCCATGCTTCTGGTACCGTACCTGACACAACTCCCTGCTCCCACTCACTGCTATGATCCTGAACTAAATGAGTGTCGTGAATTTTTTAAAGTTATCCAACCATGGAAACGTTGTGGTCTTTTTTTTTTCCAGAAATATGTAGTGGTATTTGTTGATGGATGCATGCAATCACTATAATGTGCAACTCTGAAAAGCACTATGTTCTGAAAATGAAGCACTGTTGTTTCACATCAGAAATATGTCACACAACACCACCTAGTAGCATGCACACCACTCTATCCTTACCCGCAATTACGCATTCGTTATTCAACAGAGGGATCACACCTTTGAAATTTTTGTAGTCTCTTATGGTGCTAGATTCCTCTATTTCCAGCATGTTTGTACTTACCAATATTTCAATACAAGGACTGCTTGAGAGAGAGAGAGAGAGAGAGAGAGAGAGAGAGAGAGAGAGAGAGAGAGAGAGAGAGAGAGAGAGAGAGAGAGACAGAGAGAGAGAGAGAGAGAGAGAGGGGGGGGGGGGGGGGGGGGGGGGAGGGAGGGAGGGAGGGAAGGAGAGATGGGCGGCAAAATGAGAGGGAGGAAGAGGAGGAGGAGGAAGAGGAGGAGGGGAAAGTTGAGGGGAAGGAGAAGGGGAAGGAGAAGGGGGAAGAGAAGGGGAAGGAGAAAGGGATGGGGAAGGGGAAGGGGAAGGAGAAGGGGAAGGAGAAAAGGAAGGAGAGGGCATGGAATTTGAATAACAAACGATCACTAAAACAGAAAGGGAAGGAGAAGGGGAATGAGAAGGGGAAGGAGAATGGGAAGGAGAAGGGAAGGAGAAGGCGAAGGATAAGGGTAAGGGAAAGGGGGAAGGAGAAGGGGGAGGAGAAGGGAAAGGATAAGGGGAAGGAGAAGGGGAAGGAGAAGGGGAAGGAGAAGGGGATGGAGAAAGGGAAGGGGAAGGGGAAGCGGAAGGAGAAGGGGGAGTAGAAGGGGAAGGAGAAGGCGAAGGAGAAGGGGAAGGATATTGGGAAGGAGATGGGGAAGGAGAAGGCGAAGGAGAAGGGGAAGGAGAATGGGAAGGCGAAGGGGAAGGAGAAGGGGAAGGATAAGGGGAAGGAGAAGGCGAAGGCGAAGGAGAAGGGGGATGAGAAGGGGAATAAGAAGGGGAAGGAGAAGGCGAAGGATAAGGGGAAGGAGAATGGGAATGTGTGGAAGGATAGGCCTGTACGCAACATGTCAGCTCGCCAACGTCTAGATGCCTTTTATACCACTATTTATTCACACAGTTCCCTAATATATCCTATTACCTAGCCATATGAATTAGTTTGACCTCGTTCGCACAACTACGCAGCACGTGGCGCTTGTTTGTGCATTTGCTGGCCTGAAACTGTGCAGGGATAGGCCTGTGCGCAACATGTCACTGTTTCAACGTCTGAGTGTTGTTTTTACTTTTATTTCTTCACACATTTCCCTAGTACATCCTATTACCTAGCCATAGGAACTGGTTTGACCTCGTTCGCACAACCATGCAGCACGTGGCGCTTGTTTGTGCATTTGCTGGCCTGAAACTGTGCAGGGATAGGCCTGTGCGCAACATGTCACTGTTTCAATGTCTGGGTGTGGTTTTTACCTCTATTTCTTCACATATTTCCCTAGTACAACCTATTCCCTAGCCATAGGAACTGGTTTGACCTCGTTCGCACAACCACGCAGCACGTGGCGCTTGTTTGTGCATTTGCTGGCATGAAACTATGCAGGGATAGGCCTGTGCGCAACATGTCACTGTTTCAACATCTGAGTGTGGTTTTTACCTCTATTTCTTCACGCATTTCCCTAGTACATCCTATTCCCAAGCCATAGGAACTATTTTGACCTCGTTCGCACAACCACGCAGCACGTGGCGCTTGTTTGTGCATTTGTTGGCCTGAAACTGTGCAGGGATAGGCCTGTGCGCAACATGTCACTGTTTCAACATCTGAGTGTGGTTTTTACCTCTATTTCTTCACGCATTTCCCTATTACATCCTATTCCCAAGCCATAGGAACTATTTTGACCTCGTTCGCACAACCATGCAGCACGTGGCGCTTGTTTGTGCATTTGCTGGCCTGAAACTGTGCAGGGATAGGCCTGTGCGCAACATGTCACTGTTTCAATGTCTGGGTGTGGTTTTTACCTCTATTTCTTCACATATTTCCCTATTACATCCTATTCCCTAGCCATAGGAACTGGTTTTACCTCGTTCGCACAACCACGCAGCACGTGGCGCTTGTTTGTGCATTTGCTGGCATGAAACTATGCAGGGATAGGCCTGTGCGCAACATGTCACTGTTTCAACGTCTGAGTGTTGTTTTTACTTTTATTTCTTCACACATTTCCCTAGTACATCCTATTACCTAGCCATAGGAACTGGTTTGACCTCGTTCGCACAACCATGCAGCACGTGGCGCTTGTTTGTGCATTTGCTGGCCTGAAACTGTGCAGGGATAGGCCTGTGCGCAACATGTCACTGTTTCAATGTCTGGGTGTGGTTTTTACCTCTATTTCTTCACATATTTCCCTATTACATCCTATTACCTAGCCATAGGAACTGGTTTGACCTCGTTCGCACAACCACGCAGCACGTGGCGCTTGTTTGTGCATTTGCTGGCATGAAACTATGCAGGGATAGGCCTGTGCGCAACATGTCACTGTTTCAACATCTGAGTGTGGTTTTTACCTCTATTTCTTCACGCATTTCCCTAGTACATCCTATTCCCAAGCCATAGGAACTATTTTGACCTCGTTCGCACAACCACGCAGCACGTGGCGCTTGTTTGTGCATTTGTTGGCCTGAAACTGTGCAGGGATAGGCCTGTGCGCAACATGTCACTGTTTAAACGTCTGAGTGTGGTTTTTACCTCTATTACTTCACACATTTCTCTAGTACATCCTATTTCCTAGTCATAAAAACTTGTATGAGCTCTTTCGCACAACCACGCAGCACGTGGCGCATGTTTGTGCGTTCCATAGTGAATATGTGCAAGGATAGGCCAACGTGCAACATGTCAGCTCGCCAACGTCTGGATACCTTTTTTACCACTATTTTTTCGCACCGTTTGTCAGAATGTTATTATTGTCTAGCCTGCAGTGGGGTACTCCATAGTGAGTACAGCCCAATTAGGGTTTGCTATATGTATCCAACTGCTTGCTAGTGAACCCCTCCTTTCTTCATTCTTGTTTCTCACTGCTGATTCTGACACCGTTCTCTATTACATCCTATTCCCTAGCCATAGGAACTGGTTTGAGCTAGTTCGCACAACGCAGCACGTGGCGCATGTTTGTGCGTTCCATGGTGAATCTGTGCAAGGATAGGCCTGTACGCAACATGTCACCGTTTCAGCGTCTGGAATTTATTTCAACCTCTATTTCTTCGCACAGCTCTCCAGTACATCCTATTCCCTAGCCATAGGAACTGGTTTGAGCTAGTTCGCACAACTACGCAGCACGTGGCGCATGTTTGTGCGTTCCATGGTGAATATGTGCAATGATAGACCAGTTGCTTGTACGCTTTTGCTCTTTCGTAACATTTGACCGTTTTTGCTGCAGGCGTTCAAGGGAAGCTCCCTCAATGAGATTTCCGTGCAATTTACTCATCCACACTGCCTACATCTTTCCGTTGTTTTTATGTGCTACATTATGTAAGGGCGATGTGAGAAGAAACGAGGAAAATGAATGAACTATGAATGAATTGGGTACAAGTACTAACCCTAATTGGGTTGTACCCCTTATGGAGTACCCCACTATAGCCTACACAATATGCATGAGCTATAATGTTCTGACACACCCCCATAGGCAAAGTGGGGGAGAACAAGGGGTCACAAGACCAGTCAAGCAAAGCAAAGCAAAGCAAGCTCAGGGTGGATCACAAAGTCACCACACATTCCGAGCACAAGTTCAAGGCCACAAGGCCAGTTCACAAGCAGGAGTACACATATATATAAAAAGGCTAGACAAGCAAGAGCAGGTATATATATATGTAACAGTACAAGCAAGGTCAAGAGGTGAGCAAGTGAGGCAAGGTAGGCACAAGGCCCAGCTGAGTACAGAAGCGCTGATGGTCACAAGGCGCAAGTGCCTTGGTGAAGATATCAGCAGTGTTGGCCTCAGAGGCCACGTACGCAAGACGCAGCTGACCACGCTGCTGCAGCTCACGAGCAAGAAAGTAGCGGAGAGCAATGTGCTTCGTTCTGTGTTCCAGCCGCTGCTCCCGACACAAGGCCAGCATGGCCTTGTTGTCTACGTACAGCACTGGAGGAGAACGAGGCAACTCTCCAAGGTCAGTCAGCAGGTAGGTGAGCCAGCGAAGCTCCTGTGCAGCCATGGCTCCTGCGTAGATCTCAGCCTCACAACTGGAGCCGAGAACAGAAGACGAGCGAGTAGCCCGCCACGAAACAGAGCCGGAACCAAGGCTGAAGGTGTAACCCTGTGACGACCGCTGCGTAGCCTGGTCGTCAGCCCAAGAAGCGTCTGCGTGCCCAGTAAGGACCACTGGACTCTGCCCTCCAAGCACAAGCCCCATGCCCGACGTACTGCACAAGTAGCGCAACACCCTCTTCGCTGCAGCCATGTGCTCCGGTCTGTGTCTCCCAGGAGCAACATAGCGTGCAAGAATGCTAAGGGGGTATGCAAGGTCAGGTCGTGTGCAGGTCATCAGGTACATGAGGCAGCCAACAAGCTCTGGGTACGGGCCACTCGACTCTACGGACTCATCCGAAGGCAGAGCTGAGAGCGAGTGGCGAGTAGGCAGAGGAGTGGCCTGAGGCGAGGAGTACGTGAAGCCGAAGCGCTGAAGGACCTGCTGCACCATGTGTGACTGAGTCAGGGTAATGGTGCGGCGTGCTCTGTCCCGAGTGATCTGCAAGCCAAGGTAGCTGCGCAGTTCACCCAGGTCAGTGTACGTGTGTCTCTTCTGCAGCTCGGACTTCACGTGGGCTAGTCCTGCAGTGTCAGCTGTGGCAAAGACCAAGTCGTCGACGTACACGAGGATGTAGAACGGCGGCAAAGAAGTGTCGGTGCGCAGAAACAGCGACGGGTCGGCAGTAGAGGGAGCAAACCCAAGAGCCGCAAGTGTAGTCCTCAGTGTGTCGTGCCACTCACGCGGTGCCTGGCGGAGACCGTAGACTGGCCGCCGTAGGCTCCACTGGGTGCCAGGAGGAAAAGACCCAGTGAAACCAGGTGGGCGACGCAGCCAGATCTCCTCGTGCAGGCTGCCCTGCAAGAAAGCAGTGCTGAAGTCAAGAGAGTGTAGCTCGTAGTCACGGTGAGCAGCTACGTGCAGCAGTACCCGAAGAGTGGTCATCTTCGGGGTGGGAGAGAAGGTCTGAAAGTAGTCAACTCCCTGCCGCTGACTGAAGCCACGAGCCACGTAACGCGCCTTGAAGACAGGCGGAGAACCCGGCGGTCGCTTCACCCTGAAAATCCACATGCCACTGACGATGTTCGCCCCAGGAGGGGGAACAGCGTCAACGTAGGTGCCTGTGGACTTCCAGGAAGCCATCTCTGCGTCCATAGCTGCCTGCCACTGAGGAGTAGGGACCCTCTATCGCCTCCGCGTAAGAGCGCGGAGTCGGGATGTCAAGTGCATCCGGGTCTCCCTCAGGGGTAAGCAGTACGGACACGAGATGAGGTGAAGCAGCGGCCAAGCACTGGAACTCCTCCTGCCTGTCCTCAAGGACGTCCGTGCCAAGGGCACACTCACCCCCGACGGACGGAGGACAGACAGACTCAGACTCAGTAACAAGACTGGCGACGTAGTCTAGGCGACAGCGAGCAGCAAAGTCGACGAGCTCAGCAACTAGAGCAGACGCAGCAGTGGACTCAAAGGAAGGGTCAGTGACAACAGTAGCAAGGAGACGCGTGACAGTAGGACTGGCAGCGCGAAGAGAGTCCGACTCCGGGTCGGCAAGAGCAGGAAGAGAAGACTCAGGAGGAGAAGGCAAAGGGGCACG